AAGCACGTGAAAAACATATGATCGAACGATCTGATTATATTACACAAAAAAAATTGAAATCTTTTTTCGAACGAAGCTCCGGCATCACAGGACGATACAACGAACAACGATGGCGTCGGAGCAAATCAAAATTAATTATTCGAAACCATACGGATATGTTTCATTGTTTATATTTTGCCAATACTATTATAACATTATCGAATGAACAATTGCTTATTCCCATGTAAACACTAAACGCAGAAATTGTGCGTTTAAACGCGTTTTTCTTGTGAAACGTGTCTGGACTCAGTCAAAAGACAATAAAAACCGCGTCTGCACGCGATTTTGCACAGACCGCATCTAAACACGACTGGACTAAGACTTCAAGCGCATCTTAACATGTTTTGGTTTGGAATCGCGTCTCTAGTGAAACATTTCTTGCGTCTAGATGTGGTTTTACTTGCAACCGTGCCTAGACGCATCCCATTGCTTCGATCAATATACAAACGAAATGCGATTGTGAAACTCGTTTATTGGAAAAAATATATAAAAGAATCGTTTTCTATTCACTAGAAACTATGTATCACAGTTTTTTTTATAAAATTAATTTAGTTTGAAGTATATAGAGTTCTCAAAAAGTTTAGAGTTCTTTTTCTCAAGAAAGACAATGTATATATTTTTTATTAAAATATAATGGGCACATAAATCCTAAAACATTGGTACTCTAACATTGAAAATGATGAAATTTTAGAAATAATATAAACGAATAGTTTCCATGATGAGATATTTTTAAAATTATGTAGTTGGATGTATCTAATGCAAACTCTTTTTTTGGATAAATGAGTATATTTTTATACACAGCACCTCATTGACACATATATCTGTGAATAAGTTTATAATAGACGATGCATATATAGATTCTGTTTCGTTCTACAACTAATGTGATCACATGTGGCTCAATGGTGTATGTACACTTGCTTTCTACTCGCTAGTTTACTTGTTCTAATCTCATTTCTATCATTTTAGAAACATTAAAATTTATGCTCTCCGTTGGCCTGTAGTTAGGTAAAGACGATCGCTAGGCAATATTGATAGCGAATCAGATCAAACCTGAGACGGATTGTAAGACATTTTAAAAATTTGAAATATCGATTCGACCGCGTTATGATTCAAAAAATATTTACATGGGTTATTAATAAAGGTTTGAAATTTATTTCACCCTGTCAAAGACATTTCTGATATCGACAACCTATGAAAAAAATTATTGAACGAGCATACAATCACCTCTATAATGAAAATGTTAAAAATCTTACCGATTACATGTTTTCAACGCGTGATACACGTGCTATTGAATATTTTGCTGTAATAAAAAATTTACTTCAACAGCTATATACGAAACCAATACCAAAAAAACTTGAAAGACATGCTCGATATATGTACAAGATGATAAAATCAATGCAACGACAATTATGCAAAGCTAATATTGCTGTCTGACAAACTGATAAAAGCAAATTATTTTTCTTTATTGATCCACATAAATATGAAGAAAAAATTAAAAGTTATATGACAAAAAACAAACGCATATCAAGAAATCACCAGTAGCATTTATTCATTAGCAGATGATTTACATTCTGTGTTAACGTTACTTGATGATCTATTAAAGCATAAAAAAATAACGAAAGATCAATATAAACAAATGTATCCAAATTTAAATACATTAGAATTTGCTCATATTTATTTCAATCTTAAAGTACGTAAGGTAAAATCGTTAGTTTGTTATCTAAATATTTTTTCTATCATACGTTTCTTGTAGCCTGAAGTATCAGTTTGACCTATTCTTGCCTCAATTAATGCACCTGCTAGACAAATATCCAGTTTTCTTGATCAACTTCTTACTCCAATTTATAATCGTGTGACAAAAGATATTACATTCATCAATGGTATAGATGTGATTCGACAATGAAAAGAATGTCAACAAAAAGGTTATCTCACCTGAAAAACATTATCTATAACTTTTGATGTTGCTGATTTATACACAATGATACTACATGATGGCACTATTGCTGCTTTATCTCGATTCTGTAAAATCTATTCAATAAATGGAAAAATTGGAAATCTCAAAATATAAACTATGATTCAATTAGCATGTGTTGTTTTAGATACCAATTCATTTGTTTATAAAGATAAGTATTATGGACATATTATAGCGTATGATGTCTTATTTGAATTTCCGGTAGCTTGTATCATTTTCTGTTGATGGATATAGAGGAGGTATAGGAGATATTGAAGATATTGATTAATTGGTACAGATGATCATTCGATAGTATTTGAATTTAAACATCTATTCAAAAAATATATTGATGTCACTTGTCAACCTTTGCTCGAAAAACTCAATTCCTATACCTTCTATATCTTGATAAACAGGAAACTATAGGAATGTCAGGAAATTCAAATAAGGCATCTAATCAATTAAAGATGGTGCCATGGGTTCACCATTTACTATGGTTTTAGCAAATATTTATATGTTAGAATGGGAGCAAAAATTAATTCAACACCAAAATAGACATTATGAAATTTATGAACGGTTAATTTTGCATTTATTAGTTACTTTTTTTTTACTCTAATAATCATAAATATTTATAGATATATTGACGACGTATTTATGATAACTAATTTATCCAAAGAAGATATTCTGAAAGAACTTGATGAAACCATTAAAACAGATTCAAATGTTAAAATTAGTATTACTATCAGTCAATCATTAGAATATCTTGATGTTACTATTGAAAATAATAATGGACATTTAAAAATATCTATTTATCATAAATCAGCTTCAGAACCCTATATTCTACCTTATGAATCTAATCATCCAAGACACATTCATGCGAATATAATTTATACTGCATTAGTGCAAGCTGCACGTAGCTGTTCCAATATGGAAGATTTTGATATGGAACGATTAAGTACAGAAATGATATTACTAGTTAAAGGTTATCCATCAAAATTTATACAACATCATATAAAAAAATTCTTTGTTAAATATGATTCTATGAGTGTATGGACTGAATTAAACAGTGAAGTCTATCAACAACTACGGAATATGTTACTTTACAGACCAACAAAAAGAGAAAACAAAACATAAATCTCGAGTCTTGGTCAATTAATTGAAAAAACGAAAAACTATGAACATAAAGATCAAATTCATCTTTATTACACGTTCGAAAAAGGACCATTATTAAATTTCAAAAAAGAATATCATCAAATATGGCAAAAGTTCTGTTTATCCAGGATCACATTTCAAAAATACACGACCAATTCTTGGTACAATATTAAATCGTACTTTACAAAGTCTTTTGATACGCAGATAGCCTCCACGAGATATGTTTACCAGGATGCAACCAACCACAGAAGCAGCTCGTACAACAATGAAAGAACGGTTTAATCATTAACATTTGTTTCTTTCAGGCGTCCCAATTGTGAAGAATGTTTCCTTCCTGTTTGTTCGCTTCTTTCTCAGTTTTGTTCTCAATAGAGGATATTCTGTTATTATCATTAGATCTTGTTACTAGATAAACATTGTTTTTTTCTTCCGGTTTAGTTTTCTCTTAAATACGTGCAACATGTCGAATACGACCATTTATTACATTTTTCATTATTTAAGCTCAAATATTTGACCATTGAACATGTGAACCGATACCATCTTCTAGTTCATGTTTCGTTAATTTTCCTTTTCCTTTCTTTCATTCGATATATGTTCACTTTGAAACCAGACGTATTTCATACTTTCATATATTCTAGATATATACTAATCAACACAATGTCTACTAACAATAATCGCAAACACGTAATAGTAACATATAAGCAATCACTATAAGCAAATCATAGTTATGACAAAACTGATGAGTGGCCCTTAAGCAAGACCGAAACGCGTCGTAAGGATGCTTGGTAATCTAAAAAATCAATTTTATACACACCCACAATGAACCAGATTATACAAAAGAATACTGATGCCCCATACAAACAATTTTTCCCTTATTCCCCAAGCCGCACAGGAACACGTTAACAGTCAAATATAATTTCCTCTATGTCTCGAAAAAAACTATAAAAGCTAATTGTAGATTATTTCTCGTTTCTACGATCGTAATATCACTCAAAAAGAAACTCTTGTCTAATCATATGATGAGAGCATTAAGCAAGAGCGAAACCCATCATCATGTGCTTGGCATATCCATGTCATACATCTGACGAAATTCTTTGCCAAATTTAGACGTATTATCATAGCTTAACTTGATATTTCTTATCTCGATGTAAAATGTTTTAATTATCAACGTATACTCACACACAAAAACAGTTAGAAGCAATATTAGTAGCGCTAAGTAGAAGTTAGGAATAATGAATCAATGAAAAAAAAAAGCTTAAACCAGCAATGGTAATATTAACAGGTCTGTAAAAAAATGTTTAAATTGTCAGCACCTTCGTTGGCGATGACGAAATCCAATTTTCCATCATTGTCTAAATCATTAACAGAAATTGAGAATGGAAGAGATCCATAATCGGTTGAAAAAAGCTTTACACTTGTGAAGGAGCCATTCCCATAACCAAGCATCACACCTATGTTGTTTGTGCCATAATTAGCAACAATAATGTCTACCCAGGTGTCATTGTTGAGATCTCCAACAGCAACTGCGTTTGGTTGAGAGTTTAAACCGGTCGTAAACGTTTTCTGGTTTGAAAATGAGCCATTACCCCATCCGAGAAAGATACCAACAGTGTCACTGCCAAGATTCGCGACGACAATATCAAGTATGGTATCGTTGTTGAAATCACCAACAGCTACCGACCACGGAGAAGTATCAGTTGAATATGCTATTTGATTTCTGAAAGAACCATTGTCGTATCTCAGAAAAACGCCAATATTGTTATTGCCTGAATTCGCCACTGCTATATCCATTTCATTGTCATTGTTAAAATCTCCAATGGCGAATGACTTAGGGCGAGATCTATTGCCAGTTATGAGTCTCATTTGCTTAAGAAAACCTTCATTAGGATATCCCAGATATACACTGACACTGTCTCCATTCAGATTAGTGACGACGGTATCCAATCGGGTGTCACGATTAAAATCGCCGACGGCTACAGATGAAGGAGTATAGCCAGTTGAATAGGTCATTTGATTTGCAAAAACACCATTGCCATATCCAAGAAGGACACTCATAGTGTTGTCATTCCCATTAGTGACGACGATATCCAGTCGGTTGTCATTATTAAAATCATCAATAGCTACAGAACTTGGTCCAGAGCCAGTTGAATATTTCGTTTGATTCGCAAAAGAGCCATCACCATATCCGAGAAGGATACTTACAGTGTTGTTACCAAAATTAGCGACGACGATATCCAGATGCATGTCGTTGTTAAAATCACCAACAGCCACAGAGTATGGTTTAGAACCAGTTGAATATGTCATTTGATTTGCAAAAGATCCATCGCCATATCCGAGAAGGATGCTTATAGTATTGTCATCAAAATTAGCAACGACGATATCCAGATTGGTGTCGTTGTTAAAATCACCAACAGCCACAGAGTATGGTTTAGAACCAGTTGAATATGTCGTCTGATTTGCAAACGAGCCATCGGCATATCCAAGAAGGATGCTTACAGTGTTGTCACCCTGATTAGCGACGACGATATCCAGATTAGTGTCGTTGTTAAAATCACCAAGAGCTATAGCAATTGGGTTAGAGCCAGTTGAATATGTCGTTTGATTTTCAAAGAAGCCATCACCGTATCCGAGAAAGACACTTATAGTGTTGTCATGTTTATTAGCGACGACGATGTCCGGTCGGGTGTCGTTGTTAAAATCGCCAACAGCTACAGACAATGGCTGAGAGCCAGTTGAGTATGTCGTTTGATTAGTGAAAGAACCATTTCCATATCCGAGAAGTACGCTCACAGTGTTGTCGTCCTGATTAGCGGCGACGATATCCAGATGGGTGTCGTTATTAAAATCGCCAAGAGCTACAAATCGGGGCCAGCCGCCAGTTGAATACTCAATGTGATTACTGAAAGATCCGATGTCGTATGTAACCAGCACATCTACATAATCGATGTCATCATATGCAACGAAAATTTCTGAACGCCCATCTTTGTTGAAACTACCAGCACCAATCATCAGTGGAGCAAAATCAAAATTTATACCGTAACGTCCTTGATTTTCAAATGTTCCATTTTCACTTCCCAGAAACGTAACAAGATTTTTAGTACCATAATTGGCCACGGCTATATCTGCTTGACCGTCTCTATTGAAATCATGGATAGTGATGGAGT